GAGAGAGAGAGAGAGAGAGAGAGAGAGAGAGAGAGAGAGAGAGAGAGAGGGAGAATTAGAAATCCACCAGCCCTTAGTTGGGCAGGGGTATTTTTCCAGGGTGCTCAGTGGTTCTGACAGGCAGTCCAGGTTGAGCACCAGACAGGTCAGAGTGCATCTTGGGAGCAGGGTCAGGGCTTGGGAGAGGAGTTGCAAGTGTCCATTTGTGGGGCCCGGTCTGGGTGCTGCTGAGAGCTGGAGCTCTGCCTTCGCCTCTGAGTGCTCTTCCCTTCTCCCAGGCTGCCTCTCCCAGGGGGCTTGCAGGGCAGAGGTGACAGAAACAGGGGCTGGCTGATGTGTTTAGTGGCACCTGTCTGGGAGGAGAAGGAGGATGGCCCCTCAGGAAGGAGCGCAGTGTGTGACTTGGTGGCACAGGTGCGCACGCATTGCCCTCCTCACTCTCGTCTGCGCCCCGCCGACCGTGAGGCAGGCCAAGTAGAGGGCCGAGTTGAGGAGTCACCTTCTTGACTAAGAAAGCTGAGACTCACAGAAAGAGTCTAGATTGTGGTCGGGTGCTGGGGCCAGGTCCCAGGCTACAGGCTGACGCTGCAGGCACCCGTGGCAGAGAGGTCTGACAGGTGCTGGAGGTGCCTGCCGTCTTTGTGGGGGCACTCTGCCTTCACTTCTCAGCATCTCCCCAGCTTTTGGCTGATGTTATCATAGGAGTGGGAGAGTCAGCCGCCGCCAATCCGGAGGCCTCCTGCCTTGTCCTAGCTTCCCTAAGCCCTCTGCTGGCCGAGAGACAGCCTCCAGCATCTGCCGAGGGGCCGTGCACCAGGCATTCCTCTGTATAGCCAGGCGGCTCAGGAGTGTCAGCTCTCTGCAAGACAGGGCTTCAGGCCCCCACGGATGTAGCAGAGGTGACTGAGCCTCCTGGGGATCTCCAGGGCCTGGTCATGCCAGAGGCAGCCTGTGACCACCAGGGGTGTAGGGGCTCTGGGAGGGTATCTGGAGGTCCATCACAGCCAGTGCCTCGGTGGGGCCCAGGGATGCTGTGGTCAGTGCTTCCCCAGCCTACCCAGTCCCTCCTGCCCTAGCCAGGAGGCTGGGCCAGCATCCCAACAGCCCCTGGGTTTCTTGGAGAGTCCCCTGGGGATACCCAAGGCCTCTCCAGCACCTCTCAGTGGGCCCTGAGCAGGCAGGGCAGTGGGTGGGTGTGTTGGGGCCCCCTTTTGTTGAGCCTGTGGCTGGTTTTCTTTCTCCTTTTGGGATGCTTGCTTGTCACCATTATGAGCTTGGAGAGGCCAAGGAGAGCTTTGGGAGACCGGAGGAAAGGAGGGAGGCACGGGCAGGGAGAGGGCCATGTACATGAAGGAGCTGGAGCGAAGGCAGCTGTGCCTACTGGTGGGGAGTATGCAGCCTCCATGGCCCCCCCAAACCAGGCATCTAGGGGTTAGTGGGGCCCTGTCACAGGCCTACTCAATCTTTTCAGTAATAATTTAATTGTAATGAAAATAATAATTTTTAAATTACTGTGTAGTATTCTGTTGTATGGCTGTGCTGGGGCCTATTAGCCATGCCTACTTGATAGATGCTTTGTTGCCCCATTTTTTGCTATCGATGCTATTTAAAATGATGCTGCAGCGAATATCCTGGCATATGCTTCTTTTTGTACAAGTGCAAATATTTCTCTATAGATACCCAGATGTGGAATTGTTAGTTTCAAGGGAAAATGTGTTCAACGATCAATTCTGGAAGCAGACCTGCCTCTTCCCCTAGGGATCGGCTGGGGCTCCCACATCTTCCTCATTCTGCCCCTGTACCCTGTCTGGGCCCCACTAGTGGCCTCTGGCCTTGGACCTCTGCTGCTCTGAGTCTGGAGCGTGCTCTGCAGCAGTCACTTTGTTTTGTGTATCTCGGTGGTAAAGGCTTTATCCTGGATGCCAAGTGGGCTGGGGTGGGGGAAAGGGGCTTATGCTTGTTAGCAGACCCCTCTCGGTAGCTAGCACAGAGTGGCCCTTTGTGAGTGAGCAGGTTAGCTCGAGGTGTAGTTCTTTCTCATGTAACAGTGTGGGGCCAGGTAGGCCCTTCAGGCAGGTGGGGTGGCTTGGCATCATGAGCTCACTCAGTCATCTGGCTGCTTCTGGAGAGTTGCTCCCCATGCCTCAGGTGCTGTCCTTGCTGCACCATCAGAACTGGGTGGAGCATTTGGGAAGGGCGAAAGAGCATGCAATGCCTCATGTCAAGTGAAGCAGAAGCACCATGCGTCCCTGGTGCCCACATGCCATAGGTGGGGACTTCATCACATGCCTGCACCTGAGAGCAAGGGACCAGGAAGTGTCCTGTCCAGGTGGGTGTGCATGTGCCAGCTGAAACTGTCACTGTGGAGGAGACTTGGGGAGAGAGTCTCTGCTGCAGAGGAGAAAGTTTTCCAAACCATTCTCGCCCTCGGACTGGGGCCTAAGCCAGTGGGTTCTCCTCTGTGTCCCAGTGCCCAGCACTGATAAGGGCTCAGTGGATGTTTGTTTGGTAGAAGGGGAGAAGGATGGAGGGGATTACCCTTGGAGGTCGAGAGCCTTGCTGCAGGAAGGCGTGGGGGTCAGGAGGAAGGGCCGGTCATCCCAGCCCCTCCTCTACCCCTGGACCCACAGGATTCATGCCTTCTCTTTCTTTCTAGCTGTGAACACCTTGGGGCTGACTAGTGGCTGCTCTGAGTGGGAGGCAGGCAGTGCTGGCCTGAGCCTCCTTCCGGGCTGACTGGAGTCATGGCCAGCATCATGCATGCCTCCCTGGCTGCTCTCCTTCTGCTGCCTATGGTAAGGGCCCAGGAACTTCCCCTCTGTGACCAGCTGGAGTCCCAGGCTCACCCGAGTCCCCACCCCAGATTAGCTTTGTCTTTTGTGTGCCCTCGGCCAAGCTCAGTTCACCTGGCTGGTGTCTCTGCCAGTAGCCATACTGAACTATCCAGTGCCTCTCTGTGAATTAGAAAGGTTGTCCCCTCAAGACCCTGTAATGACTTCACTAGATATTGGTACATAATTTGCAAATCTGTTATGGTGACATAACCTTTAGAGTTGTGCAGTACACAACCTGCTCAACTGTATGCAAGGGCCCCAGTGGGAGCCGCAGAAGGCTCTTTTGATTTATCCCCAGCCCACAACTCTTTGCCATGTGAGAGCTCAGAAACCTGCTCTCTGCTCATTTCTCTCCCTGAACAAAGAGGAGTAGTGGGGAGGGTTCACAGGCACTGGCCCTGCCCCTCAACCTTGGAATCCAGACCAGCCGTGGTGGATCGGCTTCAGAGCCCTGAATACTGTCCTGCCTCTGCCCTGCCTTACTTTATGACCACAGGCAAGCCCCTCCCTCTCCCTGGCAGCTGTCTGTGTACCCCTTTACAGTCAGAGCGAGACTGGATCCCTGAACACTGCCCTCGGCAGCTGGGATGCCTTGTGCCCACCTCCATGCTTGCGACATCCCCTTGTGGAACCATTCCTGTGCTGGGGTTTTGAATTAAAGTGACACCATTAGGCGTGAGCTCTGAAGTTGCTTGGTCCTGCACTTAAATCCAGTGTCTGCCACTGACCAGCTGTGTGACCCTGGGCAGGAGTTTGTTAACTTTTCTGAGTCTCAGCTTCCCCTTTTGTAAAATGGAGCAATTGAAAATGAGAGCAGCTAGTAGCGTCCACTGAATGCTGCCTCTGCTCCTTTACCTGCAGCTCCTGGGGCTGCACCTCTTTCTTCAACCCCTAGGACAGAGAAAGGATAGCTCTCTCAGCCACTCCTCTCTCTCACCCTCTCATTCCTCCCCTGAAGTGCAGGAGTAGCCTTGTGGTCTCTGGAATCAGACCGCCTGGGTTTGAATCCCTGATGTACAGTCTACTAAACTGTGTGACTTTGAGCAAGTTACTTAATGTTTCTGTACTTAAGTTTCACATTTGTAAAATGCAAAATGGTAAAACAGTACCTACTTTGTAGTGCTATGGCCACACACACACATACTCACCAGAATAATGCATGTATGTAGTAAAGTGCTACGTATGTGTCTGGTAGTAGTATTATAAGACATGCAGCTGAGACCCAGGGACAGGTGGGAGCCACCCAAGGCCACACGGTGAGTTGGTGAAGGAGAAGAACCCTCATGGTATCCATGACAAAGTGGATGTCAGAGCCCCTGCGGGCCCTGAAATCACCCTGTTGCTCTCCTCTTGTAGATGAACTTCCCTGCTTACCCCCCATGTGTTCCCATAGGCCACCACCATGCACTCTGACTGCATGTTCAAGAAGGAGCAAGCCATGTGCCTGGAGAAGATTCAGAGGGCAAATGACCTGATGGGCCTGAACGACTCCTCCCCAGGTGAGTGGGGTGATACGGAGGAAAGGGCATTCCCAGCACATCCAGGCCAGCCCGTCTTGGAACTGGTGTCCCTGCCTCCACCACCTTGCAGACAGGGCTAGAGGAAACGGGTCCCTCAGAAAGCCCTATGGGGCAATAGAGTCTGGATGGTGGCACTGGGGTTGCCCTCCTTGGGGATGGCCTGGCCCGGATGCCTCACCCTGGAAGGGGCTGTTCTGGTTGGCTGGATGTGGCCGTCTTCCATCCCCTGGGGCTGGGGATGGAGCTGGTGTCTGGGCTGGGCAGCAGCTGTTATGGAACTTGTTAGCAGGCAGCCTGGGCCTGGTGGCAGCAGGAACACAGCTGTTGCCGGTGGCTGAGCTGGAGAGCACCTGTCAACCTGGGGCAAGAGGTGTGGGGTCATTTCCTACCTTCTGTGCCAACCCCATCAGAAGCCAGGGAGCAGGGCAGCGGCAGGAACCCCAGGCCTGAGCCTGTCAGGCACAGTGCTTCTCCTGAGGCTGCAGAGAGCAGGAGGGGATGCTGGTCCTTGGTAATGGATGGGGCCACGTGCTGCAGGACATCAGCGGCCTTAGCTCTCCCTGTTAGATGCTCCTAGTACCTCCAGACCTCAGTGACAACCAGAAGGCCTGGCAACATTCCCAAGCAGCCTGAGGGTATGGCGTGGCCCCTGGCTGACACCCAGTGGCCCTGTGTACCCTCTCCTCCTCCCTTCGCCTCTGCACAGATGAATGCTGCCGCCCACCCTCAGCGTCCTGACTGCTGGAGGGGCCAGGGAGAGGATCTGTGTGAGCAGTGGGGGATTTGGGAGTGGGGGCTTCATGGGGTCCTTGCCAGCCTCACTTGTGTCTCTTGTTATTAGAGGGATCCACTTTTCCCTCTGGATCCTCCCCGTTTACAGGGAACTCTTCCAAGCACCATCTATTTAAATCCTTGATTAATCGGCAGCCCAGTTGAATGTAACAGTCCCTCCGGGCCAAGCTCCCTGGCCAGTCAGTGAACATTAACCAGTAATGGAGCCGCTCCGGCCATCCCTGCCTTTTCCTCCAGCTGAGCTCTTGCTCAGCCCTCACTGAAGCTGAAAGTGGATTCTAGGCTTCAGGGAAACCAGACAGGGGGACCGAGGCAGGGAGCCCAGGTGGGCACACACTGGCAGGAGAGCAAAAGAACACCTGGTCTGAGCCTTTTGTCTAGCGGGTGGGAAAATGGAGCCCTGAGGGCAGTGACTTTTTAGACCACAGTGGTGGAGGTGGGTGTCAGGCTGAGGTGGGCCTGGGGCCCCGATGTTCTGCCTGCCAGCCCAGGGCCATTGTTGCTGCACCATAGCATTTGGGGTGGAGCAGTAATAAACATTCAAGGGAACAGTTCGGTGGAGGTGGGTGGGGGGACCTGCAGGTGAGCTGTGAGCTGTGTGCAGGTTGATCGCAGAGCCATTTGTGGAGCCCTGCGCTGGGACAGGACGAGGGCCTGCCCACAGGGGCATCCTGGCAGAAGCATGTGGGAGACAGATGTAGGATGGACACTCTCCCAGGAGCAGCAGGCCAGTGCTGGGGCCAGGGTGGGGTGGGGGGCATCTAACTCCCAGGCGTGCTGGGGAGAGGAAGAAAGGAGTTTTCTATGGGAAAGGTGGGGACAATTCATAGAGCAGGTGTTATTTAAACTAGATCCTTGGTTTTCAAACCTGACTGCACATCAGAGTCACCAGAGCTTTTTGAAAAATGTACCCAAGTCACAGTCCAAACCAATTAAATCAGAACTTTGGTCAGTTATAGTTTATATTTTTGAAGGCATCACAGGTGATTCTGATGAGAAGCTAGGCTGAGAATCCCTGAGCTAGGCCCTAGGGATGAGCAGGCACTTGACTGTAGAAAAGAGCTGAGGGATGGATGAATGGGGAGAACATTCTAGGCTGAGGGAACCGCCTATGCTCCTGAAATGAACTTGAAAATTTAAAAGAAAATCTTGTCAGCTTGTTCTAGTGACTGAGTGTGAACTCACAGCTTTTATCTATCTATCTATCTATCTATCTATCTATCTATCTATCTATCTATCTATCTATATTTGTGTATTTCAATATATTTTGTTTATCTCCCCATAATCTTAAATCCAATAAAGTGAGTGCATTGGTATGATCTGATAGAGGTGAGGTGTGTCCCTGGCACTGTGTTTGGGGGCTGCAGGGACTCCCAGGAGGGTACCTGTATCCCCTCAAATCCTTGCGCTTCACTCGTCTTGGGACCTTCACCCCAAAGAGAATATGGGATGGCAATGCATATAGTGGCCTTCAGAGCAGAAGCCAAGTGACAGAGGCGTGCTCAGGGAGGCCCTGCAGCTCAGTAGACAGCTGAAGGGTGCAGCAAACACCAGGAAGGCGATGGAGAGTGAAAGCAAGCTTTCTGACCGGGTGGTTTTGTCTGTGACATCCTTGATGTGTTTTAAAGATGATTATTGGGATCATTATTGAAGAGATGGTTAACGGTTTTATCCCTTATTCCAAACCCCAAATGCTAAGTGGGACTTGAGACAACACGTAGTTCGGCTGTGTCTTGGGACACATGGCGAGGCTGAGGCCAGAGGTGGCAGTCACTGGCCGTGTCACACTGAGGGCTGGAGCCAGCTCTGGGACAGAGCCCAGGTCTGTCGTCCCAGCCAGGGGTGCCCTTTGTGCTGTCATGCTCTTGTGCCCAGAGAGAGGAAGGAAGGACTCCTGTGCGTGGGAACTGGCATCTTGGCGCCCCGTGCAGGGCATGGGTACTGCCCCCCCTGGGCTGGCTGTTTTGTTCTCTCTGCACAGCCTAGGCAGCCTGCCTGTGCAGGGGGAGTACAGCCAGCACCTCCTCTTTGCAGGGCTTAGGGCTTCATCGGCCTGGAGGCCTTCACTGCATTGGGGCAGGGCCAGTCTGGTGTGGTCCTCCTTGGGGTTCCCTGTACTCTGGAGAAAGTGGAAGAGGGAGGCCAGCAGCAGCCTTGGCTATGGCAGCAGGGGAGGAGGTTTGGAGGGAAGGTGAGAAAGCCTGCTTATTGCTATTCTGACCCAGCCTCTGAGGACTGGACGGGGTGCAAAGTGCCCTGCCTCAGCCCCACCTCCAGACTCCCCAGAGGGGAAGAGGCACTGCGGGCCTGGGCCCAAGCTCACCCCCCGTGGAGCAGCATCAGCCTCCTGCCTGTGTCCCCCCAGCTGTTCTGAGATGGAGCAGGCATCAGCATGGGTAGGCATGGGGTCTGCAGGGACCCCCACTCTGAGGAACTCACTCCCCAGATCTGATGAAGGGTTTTCCTTCTGTCCAAACCAATTTTCCTTTAGTCATGTAGTTCTCAGACTTGAGCCTACATCAGAACCTCCTGGAAGCCTTGTTAAAACACAGTTTCTGACTCAGTGGGTCTGGGTGGGACCTGAGCATCTGCATCTCTGGCAGGTCCCCGGTGGTGCTCCTGGTCTGGTGTCCCTGCTCTGCCAGCCTCTGACTTCCAGAGGGGCGGGTGGCACCTTTCATCTCCCCTTCTCCCAGCACCGAGCTTGCAGCTGGTCCTCATTTTATGGATCAGAATCATTGGCTGTCAATTTCTGTAAATGGAATCATTTTTTCACCCTTGAATTGTATGCTAAAATGAGTGGCTTGTTCTAATAATGTCTCTAGCAGCCGCAGGCGCTTCTCAAAGGCACGACTGTGTCTTTGTCTGAGTTCCTCTGGTGCCCCATGTCTTGTGGGCTTTGAACACTGTGTGAAACTGGACAAAATCATCACCATGACAACCTGAGAGGAGCTCCTTGTTTTGTTCTGGCCGAGGCATATGGCTCTTGTGTTCTTTCTCCATTCAACCTGCAAGTGGACTTTTTCCCCCCTGCTGTGACGAGGCACTGCCGCCCTTGACCACTTCCAGTACAGTGTCTTAGCGGAGCAGCCCCGGTGTGTGTGCGCAGCATTCTCCCACCGAGCAGTAAGGCCCCTCCGCACCACCCTCTGCCCCCCAAGCCTCTGACCAAGGTCCTGGAGGCTTTCAGGGGCACACACTGAGCTTAGTGTAGCTCTGGGGTGCATGGGGAGAGGTGAATAAGGGAGGCTTGGGGCTGTCACAGTGGAGAGTTCTGCCAGGGAATAGGACCGGTTCTGTTTTTTGAGACTCTCCACAGTGTTTGGTGCACGTGACCATCTCCTGGAGGCACACTTTCCTGGCCTTTGTGTCCCTAACCTCTCCTGGTTTTTCTGTGTTCTTGGCCACCCCTCCTCTTGGCCAGCTCCCTGCCTGAATGTGGCCAGGCTTTCTTCTGCTGGGGCCAGGCTTTTGTCTCATTTCTTTTCTTCTGAAACCTCTGCTTTCTCACTAGACATGGCATCTAAGTCCATGGCCCCACCTAGCATCCATGTGGACCACCCCCCATTCTGACTCCCCCCAAGGACTCCAGACTCCTACCTAACTGCCTTCTTGCAATCCAGCTCCACTTGGCACTTGCTACCATCTCAAACTGAACCTACTCCAAACTAAACCCTGGAGTTCCAGCTTGCCTGATTCCCTCCATTTGCTTCTCATCCAGTCCTCGCACTGTGGCAAATGGCTCATCCACCTCTCCAAGCACGCATGCCAGAAAGCCAGGTGCTGTCCTTGGTAACCCCTCTCCCCTTGGCTGCATTCGTCAGGCAGCCTGCACCATGCTGCAGTGACAAACAAGCCTTACAATCTCAGGGACTTGGCACAGCACCATTTACTGCCTGCATGTGTCACAGGTCAGTGTGGTCAGCAGAGGCGGAAGGTGGAACTCCACTCTGTACTGTCATTCAGAGACCAGGCTCCTTACATCTTGGATCACTGCCACCAACCACATGTGACCCCCAGGGACACTGTAGAGAGGGGAGAGAGAGAAAGGGTGTGGAGCCTATGAGGAATGTTTTTAAGACCAGTTCCTCACTTCCAGCCACTTACCATTGGTGAGAATGCAGTCATGTGAGGTGGATGGGCACTGATAACCTAGCATACATGCCAGCTGTGCCCAGCTGGTGTGT